TTTTCATGCGTTGATTTAATCATTTCATGAGAATTGTTTCTTTCCATTTGAAACCAATGATTTGCCTTTTGTATATCAATTTGTGTTCCGATTCCGTTCCGATAACAATACCCAAGTCGACTCATTGCAGCATTATGTCCCATTTCTGCAGATTTTTTATAATATTCGAATGCTTTATGTTCATCCTTTTCAACTCCAATTCCATTTTTATAACAATATCCAACATTATATGTTCCGCTTGCATTACCCATCTCAGCAGATTTTTGATAATAAATAAATGCTTTATGTTCATCCTTTTCAACTCCAATTCCATTTTCATAAAAATATCCAACATTAAATATTCCATCAACATCCCCCATCTCCGCAGATTTTTGATAATAAACGAATGCCTTATGTTCATCCTTTTCAACTCCAATTCCATTACGATAACAATATCCAACATTACATATCGCATTAGAGTTACCCATCTCAGAAGATTTTTTATAATATTCGAATGCTTTATGTTCATCCTTTTCAACTCCAATTCCTTTTTCATAACAATATCCGACATTATTTATTCCTTTAACTTCCCCCATCTCTGCAGATTTTTTATAATATTTGAATGCCTTATGTTCATCCTTTTCAACTCCAATCCCTTTTTCATAACAATCGCCAACATTAAACATTCCACTAGTGTCTCCCATCTCTGCAGATCTTTGATAATACATGAATGCCTTATGTTCATCCTTTTCAATTCCAATTCCATTAAAATAACAAAATCCAACATTAAATATTCCATCAACATCCCCCATCTCCGCAGATTTTTGATAATAAATAAATGCCTTATGTTCATCCTTTTCAACTCCAATTCCTTTTTCATAACAATATCCGACATTATTTATTCCTTTAACATCCCCCATCTCTGCAGATTTTTGATAATAAATGAATGCCTTATGTTCATCCTTTTCAACTCCAATTCCATTAAAATAACAATATCCAACATTATATGTTCCATTTGCGTTCCCCATCTCTGCAGATCTTTGATAATACATGAATGCCTTATATCCATTCTTTTCAATTCCAATTCCATTTTTGTAACAATATCCAACATTATATATTCCATCAATATTGCCCATCTCAGCAGATTTTTTATAATAAACGAATGCCTTATGTTCATCCTTTTCAACTCCAATTCCATTACGATAACAATATCCAACATTACATATCGCATTAGAGTTACCCATCTCTGCAGATTTTTGATAATAAAAGAATGCCTTATGTTCATCCTTTTCAATTCCTACTCCATGTTGATAATTGTATCCAAGGTCAAAATAGTCCAAGTTAGTTGATTTTTTATTACGAAACAGATTATTATAGATTTTCTTCATTTTATTTTGAGTATTGAAAAAGAAAATTAATAAATTTCTGGATCCGCATCCGTATCTTAAACGTTATATTTATAGAATTTTGCGCAACCTTGAGTAATACAACCTATAAATAAAACCTTTTGAAATTTTGATTTGCGATATACCAGTATATGGATATTTGCTTTTTTACTTGAAAGTTCTGAAGTTATGTTCAGCATCTAAAATAGTTCTAATGACATTCGCAGAAACAACCAAACTAAATTCTATCAATTTTTTATTTTTATTCTACATATCTATATAATTAAATTAAATTCTGTCCATTTAATTATGTGGTTATTGCAATATCATTAACTAGAGATAGCTGGACACTTTGTAAATTTTATTTTTTTATTATCTAATATATCCGCATTGTAATTAAAATTCGTTTCAGATTGATAATACTAAACGATCGCAAAAATAAAAATGGTATATAACAGTTTTTAATTTATCCTAATGGCTTGATACTTGTGCGAAAATTTTGACAATTTCATTGATCAAATACTGCATTATGAATAATTTCTAATGCATATTCATTTATTAATCTATGGTCCAATTCTTTTTGTATTTACTGTATGTTAGCTAATAATTTAAAGCAGGGCTATTATATTTTGTTGAAAGATGTAATTATTTTGACTACGAAAGTAAAAACTCCATCCTAAAAAAATTCAAAAGCCATACAGTACACTTCACGCAGTAATTGTAATGCAACAGATTACGTATAAATTTATTCATATAATATTTATTTATTTATTTATTTATTTATTTTATTTATTTATTTATTTATTTATGTGCGTAGTTGCAACAAACAACATATCAAATTAATTTGAGCTGATAAATGAAAATTCTAATAGGCTTATGTCAACTGTCATTCTCGAATTGCAAACTAAATTTATAATGTAAATATTTTCATAATATTACATGCAAGGTTATTAATTAAAATATTTTGTATACCAAGAACGGAGGAATATTTAGTCATGGCTATAATATCCCAAACATAAATAACATAAAGAAATAGTCACATGGCCAAAACATTCTTGCCACGGCTAGGGTATTCGATAAACCACAACACATTTATGCATTAAAAGTTAAAGGTCCAAAAAAAGCAATATACAACAAATTTCTTTTGTATTTAACAATGGCTAAACTATTTTTTTTTGAATTGGTTTACAATAAATAGTATGATTTATTATTCGCTTATGCTCGAGATAATCGAAAACGGATTTGCCATTCACGAAATATTATCAATACACGATGAATGATCTCTCGCACGATGCACTGATATCCCAAGAATGGTTGATTCATTTTAATAATTTTGTACTTAAACGATCATAGCATTCGTTTTAAAACCAAAATTGCTTGGTCATTCACGAAATTTCGACATTAAACTAATAAAATAATTGCATATTTGTACTAACTTCCAACACTAATTTTAATATCCGCCATGGTTTATTAGTTATACTTCGAAAAGGCTGATCCATGCTTGATTATCTTGGGTTTAAACAAATTCTACAGTTGTAGCATTCGTTTAAGCACAAAAATCAGCGAAGTTGGATCTGCTGTTTTCGAGTTGTAAAAAGTAAAATGTAATGTGTACAATTATTTCCGAATCTTTCCGATACCATTGTGCCGTGAAATCGAGAAGTGAATGCACATGGAATATTTGAAAATAATGGAAAAAGATCGAAAGTCTTCAAAGAAATTAAATATTTTATTGCCATCTATACTGGTTACCTCGAATTATAATGGAGAATTGCTTAGCTTTCAATAGGTATGTAGCTTAAAAGAGAAATACTTGAAATCCTGTGAAATCATAATTATCCAAATAGCACACATACGTTTTAAATATCGATGTACTGTGCATATAGATGTCGATTTTTCAGTAACGTTCTTATTAAAACGCTTTATTACATGCACACTCTACAAACCAAAATCTATCTTGACACCATTATTTTATGATTTATAAATATAAACCTTATAAAAGTCATCATATACAGTGGATACCACTCAAAGTCAATATATTTTATATAATATATATAGATTCTAAAATCTAAATTTCACAACATCTAAAACAAAGCTTACCTTTATTATTAAATCTTACCTGCCAAGCTTAAATAAACGACCTTTTTATTATTTCAAAAATTACGATCATCATTCTTCAGCAAAAGCAACCAGTTCTTTATTTTCTTCAACTAAATCACCAACGTTATAATACACTTTTTCAATCTTGCCAGTAAATGGTGACTTTACTATATGCTATTAATAAATAATAGATTAATCGAAAAAAAATGAATCTTTGTTATAATCATGCGGCAACAACTATATATTATGATTATATATAAAAATTACCTCCATTTTCATTGCTTCTAACACCAATAAAGGCATTCCCTTTTCAACTGTTTGCCCAGGTTGAACAAGTACCTTTATGAAAATATGTGATTTAACATTATTAAATGGAAAAGCAAAATCGTTAAAATTCTTAAAATTCTTAAAATTTGTTTAAAACCTGAGAAATTTTGCATGGCATTGGCGTTTTAATAGAATGTGCCATATCTAAAACACCTGAACTAAGATATAAAGGTTCTGGGATATGTAAGACTACTTTTCCATCCTAAGTTAAATTATAAATCAGTATTTCTTATATATACCAATAAAAAAATATACATATACATTATGTATATAAATAAATCACAAACTTGATCGAAGATAATTAATCTATTATTTTTTTCTATTATGATATGACTTTTAAACCGTATACCACCAATATTTGCTATAATCTGCTTTTCTATTTCATCCCAATGACCAGTAACATGCTCATATTTAATTAAATTATCTTTTCCATGTTTAATAGTAATGTCAAATGAATTATTTTGCAAATATTTTATATCAACAGATATATGAATATCATTTTGACCATGGAATAAAATATTTCGTTCATATATTGCATTAAGACGATAGCCGAAATATGATGCCCAAGGTGAATATGGATCTATAATCAAATGAATATTATTTAAATAAAATAATACCTATTCAATTAGAAAATTACTATTTTTTACTATGGTTTTTTGCTATTTCCATCATGGTTATACCAAATTTTTATTTTTAGTATTTAAAATAAAAATTAATTTACACAATGTGATACATCACTAGCTCTGATTGACTAGACATTTGGTTTGTTTTGGTTTCACATTAATCAAAAACAAAACAAAATGTAACCAGACTAGAGCTAGGTTAGGGTTTGGCCGTTGTAATAGCTGAAGAAACCCCTAACCTAAAATTTTACCAAAAAATGCAAACTTTTAATTAATTTTACACCTAATCCTGCATCTTAATTGGTTGATCAGAAGATAATTATATACATTAACAATGAATAATAACCCATAAGTTAATATTAAAAAATTAACTTTTTTAAAATTAAATTTTTACTAAGTTAGGATTCATTAAACTAAATAAAGTTGTTAAGAAGATTTTTGGGTTTAATAATAATTAAACCATCAAACTTAACCTAGTAGATATCAAAATATTCGGGTTAAAGACATGAATATAAGGATTTGCAAATTATCAATTATACAAAATATTATAGGCTATAATATATATTTTGTATAACTGGCATTGCAGAGCTCTATGTTCTCATCTTTAAATATCTTGAAATCAACCAAGCCAATTTTGATAATCTAATCACAATTAGAACCAAAAAATCATCTTTACAGAAATCTAATAAACCCTAACTTAATAAAAATTCTTTTAATTTTTAAACAATTAATTTTTATATTAGTTAAAATTAATGATATTAAATATTAAAATAGAAATTTCTGTATACCATGGTGGAATAGCAAAATACCATTGTGAAAATTGTAATTCCCTTCAATTATTGTACGCAAAATAGTACCAAATGATCTGATAGCAGCTTTCTTTAATTCTTGATGCTCCTTCAAGATTAATGACAAAGCAGCTTGAGCAATAACATAAGATGATACTTCTGGATTAGGTGCAAATAATTCTTTTTCATGTTTCTAAAAAAGTATAAATATGAGAAATGAAGTGTCATTTTGATAAGTACATAAAATATCTTACCGCAATAAATCCAGTTTCAACATCTCCTTGTATGAAAGCAGGATGAGAAACTATTCTTTTCAAAAATTCTATATTTGTACTTAATCCAACAATCTTTTAAAATTATATTAGAATATATAAATAAATAACTTTGTGCATATAAATAAATAAATTTGTACAAATAATATAATATACGAACTTCATATTCTTGCAAGGCTTTTCTTAACATGCGTAATGCTTCTGTACGATTTGTGCCCTTGGTAATTAATTTTGCAATCATAGGATCATAGTAAACATTAATCTCATCTCCTTGCTCAAAACCAGTCTCCAGTCGAACATTTGATGAAGTTGGTGGTGTACGAATATGAAGTAATGGTCCAGTATCAGGGAGAAAATTACTGGAGCAAAAAAAGAAGGTAAAGAATATGTTTTAATTAATAAGTTTAAATTTAAAGTTCAAAGAATCGTATATACTTTTCTGGATTTTCAGCATATATACGAGCTTCAAAAGCATGACCATCAAGACTAAGTTCATCTTGCATCATGGGTAATGGATTTCCGGAAGCTACCTATAAATATATTCATTTTAAAGAATAAGTACATACATTGCAATTACAGTAAAGAAAAAATTAATTTTACCTCCAATTGCCATTGAACTAAATCTGTAGAAGTAACCATTTCTGTCACAGGATGTTCAACTTGTAATCTTGTATTCATCTCCATAAAATAGAATCGTTTGTCTTTATTGTCCATTATAAATTCAACGGTACCAGCACCAACATAATTAACAGCTTTAGCTGCGGCGACAGCTTTTGCACCAAGTTCTTGCCTTATTTCTTTACTTAATCCTGGTGCAGGAGCTTCTTCCAAAATCTTTTGATGCCTTCTTTGAACAGAACAATCTCTTTCAAAAAGATGTACAACATTTCCTTGTGTATCAGCAAAAACTTGTACTTCAACATGACGTGGAGTTTCAAGATATTTTTCAATAAGAACTTGATCATCAGCAAAAGATTTTATAGCCTCTCTTTTAGAAGATTCAAGTTGAATTTCGAATTCAGATGAATCATTAACAATACGCATTCCTTTTCCACCACCACCTTTTATAGCTTTAATTAAAACAGGATAACCAATTTTTGAAGCTTGTTCCTTAAGGAATTGAGGATCTTGATTTGTTCCATGATATCCTGGAACGACAGGAACATTAGCAGCAATCATGATATCTTTCGATTCACTATTTAAGAACATATTGCATGTTATATAATCATTTGTCTTGTTAATCATATTCTTAAATAAATAATGATTACCTTTTTGAACCCATAGAAATCATTGCTGATGCTGGTGGACCAATAAATACAATGTTTTCATTTGCGAGACATTCTGCAAATTTCGGATTCTCTGATAAAAACCCATATCCTGGATGAATAGCCTAAATTTAAATAACAATAATAATAATGTTAGGATACACTTTTTTTCATACTAACCAACATTCTGTAAATTTTTTCAAATACCTGTGAACCACTTTCTTTGGCCACAGCAATTATTTTTTCAATATTTAAATAGCTTTCTGAAGAAGGTGCAGGTCCAATTAGATATGCATCATCCGCCTATATTAACAAAGTAAAGATTTTAACTACAGTATATATAGTTTTACTAGTTAATTATGAAAACAGTAATAATTACAAGAAACCCACCATTTTAACATGTAATGAATGTTTATCTGCTTCGCTGTAGACTGCAACAGTCTTTATTCCTAATTTTTTAGCAGTACGAATCACACGACAGGCAATTTCACCTCTAAAATTACATTTAAAAAAAATGATGAATTAATTTTGGTATTTTACAAAATCATGTAATAAAGTAAATAATGAACCTTTACCGGTTTGCAATTAAAATTTTATCGAATAATGGTTTATTAGCTGTGTCATTATTTGATTACATATTAAATAAATTCAGCATTTTTTATAGTGTTGGATAATACGTTAATGAAGAAAGATATTACGTACGTACCCGAATTAGTTGAAAAGTAATTATGATTACAATCATTCAAAGATAATTTCTTTAAAACCAATGTATATTGTAATGCATTTTTTCTTATTGGATAAGTTAATTTGTATAAAGATGGACTGATTGCTATTGGAAATCGAAATATTCGATGCATTTTTGGCAAAAGGAGAATATAAGAGATTGTGAACGATAAAATTATAGAATCGTATAAAATACATTTACACGATTGTGGTACAAAGCAAGTGCATCATTACGATGCAGGTGTGTCTAGCACAATGGAAGTTTGATTTGATTGGATATTGAAGGTAAATTTTGGGTTGGGTTTCTCTATTAGTGTATCTTTTACTAACTACTTTTGTCACGGAGTTATATAATCACCGTAGTGACTATTATCTTGCCCAGATGGCTTTATTCTTTAATATCGGTCTCGCTTGGCACAAATAACTCACTCCTTTTCTCACAAGCCCCAGAACAACGCACGTAAGTATTTACTTAAATGAAACGCTTTTCTTTATTACCAGTGTCAAGTCTAACTAATTTCTTTCTTTTACATTCGCTATTTGTATAATATGTTGGTTACATACCTTGAGCAACCCTTAAATTATCTCTTACATTATTAATTAAATGGAGTATTTTAACACTCACCGGAGGTGAAATTCACCGGGGTGCTATATCTCGAAAACTGCACTATGAAACAGGGGT